CCTCTTACAACTGATGTTCCCCCATGCAAATAACAGAAAAATTAGTTAGCTCCCAAGGATACGAACATCCACCCAACTTCTGGTATCAAACATTGCGTTAACATAGCAAAACATGACAACACTGGTGATTGAACATCACAGCCAACCATTCTCTTTCTCCTGTGTCAATACACATAAGCATACATGTTATGAACTCTAACTCAGGGATGGGGGTAGACTATCTCGATACCTTGACTGATTCCAAGGGAATTATTCTGCCCCTAATGGTTTGGAATTGCCACTGAACTACTCTAAAGATCCAGGCGAACAGGGGTTCGCCGCTCTCTCTGAGGATATCGGCGCTCTGTGGGAACATCAGTCTTATTGTCCAATGAGGGTAAGATGTCTTTGGAACTCGACTGAACAGGTGTCTCAGTCCCTTCTGTTGTCAAATCCACAGCCGGCACAACTGGAACTGGGTACGGCATTTGTGTGGGGAAAAGAACTGAAGTGTCGGTCAGTGCCTCTGAAGAATCTCCTGGGAACAGCTCTGATGATGCTGGTGAAACGGAGAGGAGTTGATCAGCGTGTCTTCGCCAAACACTATCATTTGTCTGGACGGTATAAGAAACTGGTCCAGTTTGGGCAATGACCGTAGCAGGAACCCATTTATGTCCTCCACTATAGTTTCTTGCCAACACAGTGTCTCCTGCTGTGAAAACTCTGTTCTTAGCCTGTCGCTCTCTGCGTTGTATCTTATTTGTTTATTTTTGTTTTTTTGTGATTATTTGTCATTTTTGACACACCACAGCAGACAGTGCACAACAACAAAATGTGTCCTCTGCATTTAACCCATATGTAACTTTCCTGACATAGCAGGGGGCAGCTAATTCAGCGCCCGGGGAGCAGTGCTTGGGGGCGGTACCTTGCTCAGGGTACCTCAGTGGTGTCTTGTTGGTCGGGGATTTGAACCTGCAATCTTCCGATTACGAGTGCGCTTCCCTAACCATTAAGCCACCACTGCCACTGTATCTGTTTTTCCTGTTGACCTTGAACTACCTCTTTCACTGCTGCGGGTTTCAACAGATCATAGGCAGTACGCAGGTCTCTTTTGAGCATTAAGTTTGCAGGAGATGATCTTGTAGTGCTGTGAGGAGTGTTTCTGTAGTTCAACAGAAAGTTATGGAGTCTTTGATGTAGTTTCCCCTGTCCTTGTGATGCTTTGAGTGTTCGTTTAAGAGTCTGTATAAACCTTTCAGCAAGGCCATTAGTAGCAGGATGGTAAGGAGCTGATGTGATGTGTTGCACTCCGTTAGCCTGTAGAAAAACAGACATTTCCTGCGACACAAGTTGGGGTCCATTGTCAGAGACTAGTTGAGCTGGTGATCCAAAATGACTGAACATCTCTCCTAGTTTTTCGATTGTCTTTTCTGTTGTAGTTGACTTCATTATAGCCACTTCAGGCCACTTGCTGTGTGCATCGACAGCGACCAGAAACATTCTGTCTTCCACTGGTCCTGCAAAATCAATGTGCACACGCTGCCAAGCCTCTTGTGGAAATTCCCAAGGATGGAGAGGAGCTAGTGGGGGATTATTTCTTGTCTTCTGGCAAGCTGAACAACTTGTAGCCATTTCTTCGATTTGTCTGTCCATGCCTGGCCACCAGAAATAGCTTCTCGCGATTTCTTTCATCCTTACTATTCCACTATGTCCTGCATGAAGCTGTTGCAACATTTTCACACGAAGTGACATTGGAATGATTACTCATCTTCCCCATAGCAAACATCCCAACTGGACAGAAAGCTCTAGCCGCCTGCTGAGGTAAGGCTTCAGGTGTACACTGCTGCTGGGGGGGGGTGACCCTTAACAATAATGTCCATGACTTCTGACAACTCAGGATCATTACGAGTTTCCTTTTTGACCTGCACAGCTGAAACAGGCGCTCTTTCCACTTCTCTGAAGTAGAATATGTCCATGGTGTTTGAATCTGACTTTGTGACAGGGAGTGGCAGTCTGGACAACCCATCAGCGTTGCAATGGGTGTCTGATTTACGGTACTTAATATCATAAGAATGAGCGGATAACAGCAAGGCCCATCTCTGCAGTCGTGATGCAGCGAGAGACGGTATCCCGGTGTGTGGCCCCAGGATGGTTGTGAGAGGTCTGTGATCCGTCAGGAGTGTAAACTGCCTCCCATACAAGTATTGATGAAATTTCCGCACTCCAAAAACAATACTCAGTGCCTCTTTTTCCAACTGAGCATAGTTAGTCTCTGCTTTGTTCAACGTCCTGGAGGCAAAAGCAATAGGCTTTTCTTCACCGTTTGGCAGTATGTGAGAGATGACTGCCCCCACTCCGTATGGAGATGCGTCACAAGCAAGTTGAAGTGGAAGTGAGGGATTAACATGGGTCAGGATCTCGGATGTGGTCAGCGCTTCTTTAGCTTTTTTGAAAGCCTCCTGGCAGCTGGCTGTCCATTTCCACGTCTTGTCCTGATGTAACAGTTCATGCAATGGTTTGATCAGTGATGCTAAATTAGGGATGAAACGCCAATAATAGTTCAATAACCCTAAAAAGGATCGCAACTGGCTAACATTTTGAGGTGGGGGTGCCTCCACAATGGCTGCAATTTTGGAGGGTGCTGTATGAAGTCCCTTAGCATCAATTACATGTCCAAGGTATTCCACAGATGGTCGAAAGAACTCACATTTGTCCTTGCGAACTCTTAATCCGTATTCTCTCAATCTTTGAAGTATGGCATCCAAATTACGTAGGTGTTCTTCGTCGTTTGCTCCAGTACACAGAATATCATCCAGGTAGCACTGTACCCCTGGTAAAGCACTGAGGATCTGATCCATTGCTCGTTGAAACAGCGCTGGGGCTGAAGTGATACCAAAAGGCAGTCTGCAATATCTGAGGAGTCCCTTATGTGTGTTTATAGTCAGCATTTCACGCGACTGTTCATCCACCTGCATATGAAGGTAAGCCTGACTTAGATCTATTTTACTAAATTTCTGACCTCCACTCAGTCGAGCAAACAAGTTATCAATCAGAGGAAGCGGTCCACTATTAAGACAGGGTTAAGGGTTACTTTGAAATCTCCACAGGTCCGAATTCCACCATTTTTCTTTGGTACCGGAACAATGGGCGTGGCCCATTCACTGGTTGTCACAGGCTCCAAAACCCCATTCTGGACCATAGCATCCAAGTCAGCTTCCACCTTCGGTCTGATAGCATACGGCACTGGTCTTGCTTTCAAAAACACCGGTTTGGTGTCAGGCTTCACATGAAGCCTCACCAGAATATCTTTCATGCTGCCCAGTTCATCACGAAAGACCTCTTTGTGCCTTTCCATTATCAGCTGCAGTTCTGTTGAACTGTCTGACATTTTTCTCACCTCTTGCCAGTTAAGCTGAATTGCCTTTAACCACAAACGTCCCATTATGGCTGCATAGTTTCCTTTTGTTATGCAGTCTCACAGTCTGATCATTGCACTGCACCAGTACATCTGTCATCCCTTTCATGTGCACTGGATGTCCCATATATGCTCTGAAGACGGTGTCCGAAGGACGTAGAGGAAGATGTCTCATGTATTTCCTGTAGATTTTATAGGACACTAAGGACGCCTTTGATCCGGTGTCTATTTGCATCTGTACTGAATGTCCTTCCAACTTGGCGTTGGTCCAGAACCCATCTGAGCTCTCAGTCACAGTCATTACTCGTACTGTATTTACAGTGACAGATGTGTCTTCTGAAGAAGAATCACTGTTGCTCTCCTTTTCGTGTTTGACTGTGTGAACATGTCTTCTGTTCTTGTAATTTGTACTGTTCTTTATATTTCTTGTCTTTGAATCTTTCTCTTTGCTCTTTTTATTTCTGCAAGCACGTTCCACATGACCCCTTTTTCCACAGCTACGGCAGTCCATATCCTTGCACCAACATGCAGAAGCAATATGACCAGATTTACCACAATGAAAGCATGGCCCTTGAAAATCTTGATTACTGCTGCTAAGTTTGTGAACTTTGCCTATTGCATGCAGCTGTTGGGCCTCTTTTGATGCCATTTCCATTGAAACACTTATATTAATGGCCTTTTCAAAAGTCAGATCACTTTCTGTGAGCAGCCTCTTCTGGGTTGCTTCATTTTTTAGTCCACACACAAGCCTGTCCCTTAATGCATCATTGCCTCTAAACTCACAATGTTCAGCCAGCTTGCGTAAAGCTGCAACAAACATGGTGACAGACTCACCCTCTTCTTGATTTCGCCTGTGAAATCTAAATCTCTCTGCAATCACCAGAGGCTTGGGGGAAAAATGGTTGGTCAGTGTGTCCACAAGTTCTTTATGTGTTTTACTCCCTGGTTTTACTGGCTGTAGGATGTTCCGAAGCAGGTTAAAAGTCTTTGGGCCGATCACGCTCAAGAAAGTGGGCACAATCTTGTCGTCACTTATTCCATTTGCTGCGACAAAGTAACCAAACCGCTCCGTATATGAGCTCCACTGCTCTATACTCTTGTCGAAAGGACCGATTGAGCCGATAAGTCCAGCCATTATATTTCTTTTTTTGTTTTCTTTTTTGTTTTTACTGCACTGCTCCGTTACAGAAGGTTTCCCCAGATTACTTACAGCGTTTGGAGTAACTCAGTCAGTGTTGCCAGACCACTCCTCCCTTCTCAGCAGGACATGCCAGTATGTACGCAGCTAGCATTAGCCCGGGGCTCCCGCCAGAAAAAAAAAAAGAAACGAGAGGGGGAAAAAAAAAAAAAAACTTTCTCCCGTTTATTTCTTGATTTATTTTTTTGTTTTTGTCAGAGACAACACGCGTCAATTCAGACGTCCTCGTCGCCACTTTTGTTAGATCTTCACCTTAATGAAGATGCAAACTCAGCTTACCATTTAATTGACTTTATTCCGGACACCATTCGTATAACGGCTGCCTCTTCTTGGCGGCTCGCACCAACCCCACACAAGATACTACGTTACCCATAATACCATGTGTCACTCTCAATTACGGTGGCCCTGGTAACTCAAAATACATAACAGTGCATGGTGGGTAGGATCTAAAGGCTGTTTGACAACTGTTGCATATGTTGGTCCAGAAAATAATTCAATTTCGCCATGTAGTCTTAAAAACTTTTTTTTGTTGGATATGGCCCGATTATACACTGTGGACCTTTTAATTTGTTTGTTTGCAATTTCGCCAGGTAGGCTACCTTCTTTCGTTTTGTTAGACTACATAATTCGGGATGTTGTATTGTAATCTTTGTAAATATGTACAGTGGTACCTCGGTTCTCGAACTTAATCCGTTCTGGATCGAATCCTAAAAAGTTTGAATTCGAATTTGTCCCATAAGAAATAATGGAAAACCAATTAATTGGTTCCTGGCCCCCCAAAATTACACCTAAATGTTTTGTTTTTTTTTTTAGCATTTAAACACAAAATGAACAGGATAAAACAAGAAGAGCATTTTTTTCTTAATGGTTTCCAAAAAGATAAAGATCTTATCCCAACATTACCGCTGTCCTGCCCCGATTGTCCGCTCCTTCCGTGTGCCACGCCCCCTTGTTAACCTCGTGTGGAATCCCAGTGTGATCAGCTGTTTCTGGTTGTTGTCATTAGTTCTCTGTATTTCGTCCGCATTTCAGTTTGTTTCACCAGTCCTGTCGTTGTATTGTCCGTCTGTGTTTTGCCTGCCTTACCTGTAATTAAAAAGGCGCTAAAAACCTAAAAAGGCGCCGGGCCCGGATGGCATAAACCCACAGGTTCTGAAGTCCTGTGCCTCCCAGCTATGCGGAGTTCTGCACAAGATCTTCAAGTTAAGCCTAAATATCATGAAGGTTCCGGTGCTGTGGAAGACATCATGTCTAGTCCCTGTCCCGAAAAAGGCACGACCCTGTGCCCCATCAGACTACAGGCCAGTTGCACTCACTTCTCACTGCATGAAAGTCTTTGAGAAACTGGTCCTCGTCTCACTCCACCCAGTAGTTCTACCAGCACTTGATCCACTTCAGTTTGCTTATCAGACAAAGGTTGGAGTGGATGTTTCTCTTATTTCCCTGCTG